GGAAAGAGTCCAAGTCTGACTAAGAATGATTCTAATGAGTTCGAAAGTTGTGTATCGATATCTGAGTGCAAGACTGTAGTTCTACTTTCTTCTATTTTCCTCTTTACTACGCGTCTTCTCCGTCTCAAACCAATCTATCATCAGGATGGAATCTATTTTCAGGCGGTCCCAAAATTTCATTCCTCAGATCAGATCCAACATCACCTTTTTTTAACTGTAATATTTTGACGAATAGAAGCTTTGGTGCAAGCCTCACAAAATGCACTGGGCATTTAGGTCGACTGCAACAAACATGTTTAACTTCTGTTAACAACAAAGAAGTCTACAACTTATAACTGGTGTAAATTGAACTTCAATAAACAGAGAACAACGTTCAGCTTCAACGAATATGGAATGGCACTTTGACGCTCGATTTCAACAAACAAAAATGAAACTAATGATGTTCAGATTCAACAAATCTTAGAAACACTTTCAATGCCCGCTTTTGACAAATGCTATGCTAGAGAGAGTTTTCACAAGACCAGAGGAGAGGACTTCAACTATGTGGTATAATTGAGAGAATTCATTTATTTATAATTTTTTACTTCTCGTGTTTTATTGTTCTCAATTTGTTTTTTAGCACCGGTTCAACGAGCCTGAAAAAAAAAAAGACTCATATTTTAAATGTCAGGGCGAGTAGGGCGAGTTGATCAGGCACCAATGTCCGACACGGGTGCAACATATTTTTAATAGTGACGGTGCTACATAAGAAGAGAAACCAAGGAAATTTACTGTGCCTAAAACAATGGAATAAATCTGAAGTCTCCCATAACCAATAGACTAAACAAACAAACCATCAAGGACAGCATTATTTCTAACCAAATCAAACCAGCTATTCAAGGAACATCGCATATAATACCCATCACATATACAACTAATGTGAAAAAGCATATCACATAAATAAACTATTTTCAATAACTTTTTTTTGTCTTCCTTCCAATGTTCATCAATTATGAAATTAGTCACAACATAGTTTAGCAAGCAGAGCTTTTCTAATGCAATGATCCACAAAGTAAAAAAGATATCATTTTCTGCTTACACAATCGAAACAATGAAAGATCAGAACAGCCTGAAGAATAAGGTTAATAAAATCAGCCATAAATTGGACGCCTTTCGCATCTCGAGCAGATGTAACAAATAATCCTGCTCGCTCCCACAATGCCACAATCCTCATTTTCTACACATTTTAGCAGCAGAATAAAGAGGATTTCGAGAAGAGAGAGTTCGTCCGACCTTGTTAGCTTCGCCGTCGAAATAATCATGTGTTCTTACTTTTAGATTCGCCGTCGTCGAAATTATGAATCGAAGCGTTTGATGCAGATAGCTTGTTCAACTGCAGTTCTTGTTGTTGTTTGAGATATGTCTGTGCAGTATCTGTGACTATTTTTACAAAGAAGTTCATCAACATTAGCCATATGACAGCATTCCAGACAGTTGTGAATGATAGGTTCCAATGTCTTCCCTGAGAGGCGGCAAGAAGGAAATGTCAGGTCGTGCTTCCAGTGAAATTTTCAGCTTTTAGAAAAATGGGGGAATTTACATGCATACCACACAATTCATCTGTATTTATGTATCTAACATCTGGACTAAACGTTTTATATTTATATCACTCAAATCTTTCGTATCACATCAAAAATATGTCAATTTTAATTTTGAAAAAGTGAAATACACCTTTTTCATGCATGGATTAGGTGGCAATATATGTAAAAATTGAGGCTTAGGTGTTAGATACGTAAATACAAAAGAATTGAGTGTTGTGTATGTAAATCTTACAAGAAAAAAGGGGCATAGCAGCACGTAAGAAAATTGCTTCAATTTGTAAAATTTCCTCTTGGAATAGTAAAATTAAAGCGAAGTTAAAAAATTGTCGATGTTTAAGTTGAGTGTGGACACCAATAAAATAACAAGCCTTTATCCCACTAAGTGGTTGTTGGTTACATGAATCTTTTTTCTCCATTGTGTCCTACTAAGTATCATATTTTCACCTGATTCGAATAGATCAAGATCATCTTTTCGGGTATATCTCTGCATTTCTTAACATAAATCAAATCTAAAACATCTAAACTCCTAACCAGATCATCAGATAATCGACATTTAATATGTCAAACCATCTAAGACAACTCTCTAATCGTGTCTGTCAGTGGAGCAGCTACAACCCTATCACAGATAGATTCATTTCGCATTTTGTCTCTAAGTGTCAAGCCACTCATCCACCTAAGCATTCTCATCTCAGCAACACTTAACTTTGTTTTATGCTTCTCTTTTAAAGGTAACATTATGTGCCATAAAGCATTGCAGATCTCACCATCTTATAAAATTTTCCTTTAAGTCTAAGCAGTACATTTCTATCACACAATAGGCCTAATAGAATGAGACTAAAAAATGATTATATTCGATAAATGGTTTAATTACATCTATTGATACTAGGGGTGTAAACGAACCGAACACGAACGAACAAAGCTTGTGTTCGTGTTCGGTTCGTTTAAAATTTAGTTTGTTTGAAATAAGCTCGTGTTCGTTTCTTAACGAACGAGCCGAACACGAACCGAACACGAGCTGTTCACGAACGACGAGCCAGTTTGACATCCCTAACATTAATATATAAAAATAATATTATATATTAATTATATAACTTATATTACATAAATATACAATATCTATATTAGTATATTACTACTATAGTATATTAATATATTATTATTATCATTTTATTATATATTATAATTTATAAAATTTAATGTTTTAAAATATAATAAATTTTTTATATATAATTATTTTATATTATTTTATATTTCAAACAATAACGATTCGAACACGAACGAACGCATCACTGTTCGTGTTTGGTTCGTTTAACTAACCGAACGAAAAAAATTTGTTCGTGTTTGTCTCGTTTACTTATCGAACGAATCGAACACGAACTCATTGACGAGCCGAACACGAACTGTTCGCGAACAACGAGCTTTTTTGACAGCCCTAATTGATACAATAACAACAAAAAACCAAACCTTAATCCCACTACGTGAGGTCGGCTACATGAATTCTTTGCTACATGAATTCTTTTTGTCCATTTTGTCCATTGCGTCATATTTTCATTTAGTTCTAATAAATTAAAATCATTTTCTATACAATAAGCCCAGGTCTTCCTAGGTCTACCTTTGTCTTTCCCAACATAAGTCGAATCTAAAACATCTACTCTCCTAATTGGATCATCAGATGGTCGATGTTTAATGTGACCAAATCATCTAAGACGACCCTCTAATTTTTTCTATCACTGGAGCTACACCAAACCTATGACGAAGATATTCATTTCGCATTTATTGATAATAAATAAAAGGCAGCTGAAATAAAAAAAAATTAAAAAAAAATTACATCTATTGATAATAAATAAAAATAGATTTAAGTGATTTGGACATGTAAAATAAAAGCAAATCCATTAGATGAATGATAACATTAATATCAAAAAAAGAGGGAGAAGGCATTAAGGAATAATTATAATAGATAAATGGTTGGTCTTAGATCAAAGTGATTTGAATATGAGCAATGGAGGCAGAAAAAACATCCATTAAATGAGTGGATAAAGTTAGTGTTGGAAGATTAGAAAGAATATAGTAGATATAAAGCAACAAGGATAGGAGTTAAGTAAAATGAGTTGTGAACAATAAATCAGTACCTCAAGCTACACTAAACAAAAATTAAAAAAAAAAAACATAAATCCGATTTCAATTAGTTCGGATAAGATCTAATGATGATAATAATGGCAATGATGACTTTTAGAAAGCCAATATCTAGCAGGTAAACTTAATGGTCTGCAAAATGTTTGGTACCAAAACCATGGCCAGTGATGAGATTTGTACAAATAGTCAGACTATGCCATTATCTAAAAAAGCAAACTGCGCACGCCCTGGCATGCAAATCAGGAAACAACTAGTGCTCTATGACTAGAAATATAATAATGAATAGGAAGAAAGCACGACAGCTAATGCAATTCTGAAACTGCAATTCATTTAGCGCTAGCAGTACCTGGTTAAAAATGATGGTAGTCCTAGAACATGGTTAAGGGTCTGCGTTGCTGTAATTTTTTATAAAGGTGATCGTAAAATTGTGACGAAGAAAGCAACTTTTAGTATATATATATATATATATATATGTGTAATGTTTTTTTTTCTAAAAATTCAGACAACATTCTTACAATAACCATTAATATATCTAGTTGCAAAAATCAGCTTTTCACCGCAAAAGTAGTCCTCCAAACGGAGTTGTGGTGATGGTTTAAAAAACAAAGCAAGCAAAAAATTATACCAAATAGACTCTAAGTTGCTACCACTAGCATATCCTAAGGTTGGCAAGGGATTGAGAAGAAAATAATCTCTTTACAATTATAGGATTAAGGTTGCATCAACCGCTCCCTAGAGTCTGCCTTGGTCAGAGCTCCATGCATTTAGTGCATTATATAATATCGGGTTAAGAGTTTCGTCATAAGCCATTCGTGTGATCGGCTAAAATTAGGGGTGTAAGTGAGCCAGCTCAACGCAGCTCGATAAATGGCTTATGAGTTGCTCAATGAGCTAACAAGTCGAGCTCCAACTAGCCCCGACTTGACTCGTTAGCATTGTGAGCCGGCTTGCTTAAGAAAATATTAATATAAAATATACTAAAAATATATTAAATTTTAAGACTTCATATTTAAATTATTAGTACAATTTTAAAAGTAAATATTTTATCATATATTAAGTGATTTCTTATTATTTATCTTCTAATTACATATTTATTTGTCATTTTATTATGACATTAGCTTAAATTAATATTTTTTTCTTTTTTATAATAAGCAAATCTTCTTGTGAGCCAGTTCGAACTTGAAGACTTAAACTTCAGCTTGAGCTCTAACTCCATTAATTAATCAAGCTCAAACTCAAACTCAAACTCAAACTCAAGCTCAAGTTGAGGCCCAGGGTGGCTCGAGCTTGATTCGATTCGTTTACACCCTTTGTTGTAGCAACGAGTAATAAAAGCGTAAACATAAGCAGGAGGATATCCAGAACTTCTACCGCATTAAACTTGAGGAAATCCTACCTTTCCTTCTGAGGGAGCTGTAGAAGGAACTGGAGCTGACAAATATTTTGCCTGAATCAGGTTCAATTTCGTGACAATGGCGGGCAGAATAGAAGATAAAATAGGAACTCGACTGAACACCCAAATCAACTCATTCTCCACCCATTCGAGCAGTTGATTATTACAAAGGGAGATGATGAAGAAAGTCTGCATCGAGTAAGAAAAAACAGAAACAAAATAAGTACAGCTTGCACAAAAAATTGCCTTCTTAAATTCAAAGTTTTTAAGTTGCGTCCCTTGGCTCATTGGTATTTGAGAAATTTATTCTCTCTCTCTCTCTCTCTCTCTCTCTCTATATATATATATATATATATATATATATGAATGATCACATAGCATCAAAACCACAAATTTTATTGCGAAAGGAAAGTTATAAAAAAGCAAATAATTTACCTGTATGTGGGTTTTGAAAATTGCCTTCCCTAACAATGTCGCCAGAAAAAACTTCCAGAATGTAACCCCAAATTGCCCACACATTATTCCAGCAAGATCAAATAATGGATTTGGAACCTAAACGAGTAGGAAAAAAAATGCAAGAAAAGAGATTATTAATTCGAACAAAAAAATCAGATGAATCGTGCGATTAAATATAAGGAATTAAGGCAAAAAATGCAATAATACAACTCATAGTAAAAATTAAAGAAAATTCCAAAAAGACTTCAGGACTGCAATCCTGTTAACTTTTTTTTTTCTTACATGATTATGTAGTTAAATTCTGAGCTTCAATAATACCAAGTACCATTACAAAATTTGTTCTTCCATCAGAAGGAAGGCAAAATGGAAGTGAATAAAATTTTTAGGTGCATCTGTTTTAATCTCAGATTTTTTTAGAAGTTAAATTAATTGCTGAACTCATCAAATCTAAACCAATTTTGTTCTACTATCAAATTTTCTAATTTTGGATCGGAATTTATGGAGGAGGCTTTTTCTTTTTCCTTTTTTTTTAACTTTTTGAAGTCAATCACATTGGTTTGAGTTGCTAAAAAATCGTAAAATTCTACCCCTAAAAAAAGTCTAAAATACCTCCATGAAGAGCTCCCTTCCACATATTTTCGTCAAAAGAAATAGCTAAATTGATATTAGGACTATATATTGATTCAGATTTGATAAGTCGGGCGACTAAATAGAAAACTTGAAAAAGTTCGTGATTTAATTGTACATGACTACAAAAATCTAAGAATCATTTTGATTATTTAAGCATTTTAAATATAAATCAGATTTTTGGGCTAGCTCCACCAAACTCAACAAAAAATTACAAATAACTAAACAGAAGCCACAGGAGATCAGATCTTTATTACTAGCCAGACTCTTTTGTCTTTCAAAAAAATTGAGATAAGTACCTTCTTTAAAGCCTTGCTATAGCAATTGTAAGGGAAAAAATCATTTAAGGAGCTCAGAATATATTTTTATTCTAGGAGTGTGACAACAATAATAAAAAAATAGAAGGGCATTTGATAAAATTTTAAGATTCACATAAGAACTACAAGGCAATAATTCTCTATTATAAAGTGGCACTCAAACTATTTTTTTTCTGAAGATAAAATTATGTTGTTTGTACCTCTAATCAAATGTCCTACTTTTATCATTTCTTTTGCATTGCTAATACAAAAATGCATCAAGAGCTCCTAATGGAGTTTTTTTTTTCTTTTATGGTTATGAGGAAGAAAATCAATCTCATCAATCGAACATGTAAATTAAACTAGTGCGATTAGGCGGACCATATTAATATCCAACTGGAAGGGAATTTTGAAAAGGCTAAGAAATAAAGGCCAGGTCTTACTCATTTAGAACAATTACCCTGCTTTTTTTTCTGAATTTTAAAATGCTGAATGAGGATTTTCTAGCAGAGCATGCACGCCTCCAATATATTTTAATTTTACTCCAAAATTCCCTCCTTCCTACTGTTCAATCCAGTAAACTTAGAAACTTGGAGTGATTCATCAAATTAGACGCGGTGTTTTAGAAGAGTGTCAGAAAAACATCTACAGAAAACAGTGCGTGGAGTTTTAATGTGCAATGTGCAAATCAAAGTAGTACTCATAAACCAAAGTGTTCATTGTTTGTATATCATATATGTAAATAGTATATACATACAATATTTAGTTAACTAGAAAACTTAAACCAAAATAGATTAAAATTTTAACGAAATCTAATGATATGTTGAATATTAGTAATTTACAGCTATCCATAGCAAAAAAATACAACAATATAAATAAATAAATGATGAAAAATAATTTAAAAAATTAAAATAAAAAATCATGAGATTTGACTGACCAATTGAAGGCCAAAGATTTGAAGGTAGCGTAATGTTAGAGAGAGTTTAAAGATGAGGCAACGAGAAATATTCAACAACAACAGCATGCGTTTATCCCACTAAGTGGGGTCAGTTACATAAAAACTTTTTCTCCATTGCGGCCAATTGAATGTCATGTTTTCATTTAATTCTAATAGATTAAGAACATTTTTTTATACAATATGCTAAAGTCCTTTTAGGTCTAGCTCTGCCTTTCTTAACATAAATCGAATCAAAAGGTTGACGTTTTATGTGACCAAACTATCTAAGCTCTGCCTAATTTTTTCTCCATTGCGTCCTATTTCGTGTCATATTTTCATTTAATTCTAATAAATTAAAATCATTTTTTATAAAATATGCCCAAACCTTCCTAGGTCTACCTCTGCCTTTCTTAACATAAATCAAATCTAAAACGTCAACTCTCTTAATCGGATCATCACATGGTCAACGTTTGATGTGACCAAACCATCTAAGACGACTCTCCCTAATTTTGTCCGTCACTGGAGCTACACCAACCCTATCACGGATATATTCATTTTGCATTTTGTCGCTAAGTGTAAAGCCATTCATCCACCTAATCATTCTCATCTCGACAACACTTAGTTTTATGCTTCTCTTTTAAAGGCCAACATTCAGCGCCATAGAGCATTGCAGGTCTCATCGCCATCTTATAACATTTTCTTTTCAGTCTAAGCGGTGATTTTCTATCACACAATAGGCCCGAAGCATTCCCCCACTTCAACCAACCCTTCAACCAACCAACTTGAATTTGAACCAACTTGAATTTGACTAATAACATCCCCATCTATATCACCGTCACTTTGAACAACAAAATTGATATATCTAACATGGTCACACTTTTAATGATTTGATCACCCGTGGTTACAACTCTGTCACTAGAGCTACTACTACTAAAATTATATTTCTTGTATTCAATTTTCGATCTACTCAAAATAAGGCCTTTAGGCATCCATAAACATTCTCGAAAAAAAAAAAAACTTGTGAGCCAGGACTACTAGTATTAGGACAAGGATTAGTGAAAAGTGTATAAGAAAACAAGAGACCAAGAGAGTGAAGAAATAAACCGATAAGAGATAACTAGCTCCAGCAAGGGGGATTATATAATCAATGGGCCGAAGCTAAAGGGTAAAATGAAATGATGCTATGTGGTGAAAGAACTCAGCACGTGAATTTTGTAATGAGTTAGCGCCACAAAAAAAAATGATGTGCATGGTTGGCACACCGCTGTACTTATATAAAGTATTAGTAGTTTGCCCTTTCTTTTTTTCATGAAAACTTTTACAAATTGGATGTCATCTTGAAAATAAATATTTTCAAAGTTTTATTCAATTTACAAGTTGGCAATGGCAAGGCATATTACACAATTTCTTAAGTTTTTCTTTCTTGTCACTCTAAAACAAAATTTATCCTGCATCTCCATCTTTACACTTAACTGCTACATTCAATTGCTGTCAAACAAAATCTTAATCTTGAGGACACAAACTTAACTTATCAACTCTTTTAGCATTAAAATCTCAATCCCTTGACTCATAAACACTTCCCATTTATCTGCACTGCATGAAATAACTTTTACAACAAGCTCCTTATCTAATCCTCTATAGAATATACTTTGCACATTCTAACGTGATCAAATATTATTGTTAACTGAATTTATTCTATCTTGTTCATGTTATCTAATCCCTTACCACCTCCATGGATTCTCTCCCTTTTAGCCACCCTTGAAACCAATCCCTTATTTTTTTTTATGCTCTCTCCTGTAATGCTTCTCTCTCATCATTCGTTGGCATAACCTCTCTTCATATACAGTCAAAAATTCATTCTATAGTTGAGAGATTGATCAAAGTTGTCTTAACTACGCTTATATAAATTGTAGCAATTGAAAGAGCTTTTTAGACTATTAAAACAGTGAAAAAAAAAAAGGTGCAGAAACAAAAAATGGAGGATGCTTTTTCTTGCAAATGCATTGATTGCCTACATTGAGAAAATGTTACTCCAGAATTTGATGTAGAACCTATCATAGAAGCATTTGATGTAATAAAAATCATAAACTACAATTCATGATGAGTAATTTTAATAGATTCTAGATTAAATTATTCTGAAAAAAAGTGCTTAAATTTGGTTAAATAGAATTCCCTTTTTTGACAGTAACCTTATGGTTTTGATTTTATGCCTACTGAAATGAGTCATCCAAGGGATTAGACTGATGTAATTTTGCAGAAAATCAGATTCCATCAATCTAATCCCTATCTAACGTTTCATTTTTCCATTTGATAATATAACCTTTTTGGATATTTCTACAAATAAAATAAACTGATGATTTATGAGGAGTATCTCCAGTAATTATTGTTAATACACGAGTGGAATAAAACATTATTGACTATATATTGAAGTTTTCTTCCTCCTTTTTTTTTCCCCATATATTTTCAGAGATTTAAATTTGAAAAATTTTAATCGTATAAAGATGTCAAAAATGTTAAATTGTCAATTTATGGGCCAAGTGAGGGAAGCAAATTCATCCTGATCCAGTTTTAACAGTGTTTTCTTATAGCAACCGTCCTACAAGATCCATGCCCTAACTAATAACATAAAAACACCCCCTCAATATTTATCCAAATACAACTTTCTGGAGCCCTGAAGCCAGATCATCTCTAGTTGTGAACTAAGCACTAGGAATATGTCATTATAGAAAATCCTGTGCAAGAAAAAAAAAAGGAAAAAATAAAAGGAAATTTACATACTTGACACACAATTCTTATGTATTTACATATCTCATACTTAAACTTTCATATTTACATACATAGTACTTTGGTTCTTTAAACCTGTCATGAAAAGACATATTTTACTTTTAAAAAGTAGTAAGTCTTATTTTTTATGTGAAATTAAAACTTTGAGTTATATGTGTGTAAATATGAAAGTTTCAGTGGGAGGTATGTGCATACATAAAAAATCTTCTATGCCTGTAAATGCTCAAAAAAGAAAATCAGTTAATAGTAAAGAATAGGAAAAATTTTCATCCAACATCCATTACGAAGAAGACTTGAATAGAAAAGCTAATATTAGTCATGTAACAGGTTTATGATACTTCAGTTCCATGCATAGTACTTTGGTTCTTTAAACCTGTCATACTTAAACTTTCATATTTACATACATAGTACTTTGGTTCTTTAAACCTGTCATACTTAAACTTTCATATTTACATACATAGTACTTTGGTTCTTTAAACCTGTCATACTTAAACTTTCATATTTACATACATAGTACTTTGGTTCTTTAAACCTGTCATGAAAAGACATATTTTACTTTTAAAAAGTAGTAACAGTCTTATTTTTTATGTGAAATTAAAAATTTGAGTTATATGTGTGTAAATATGAAAGTTTCAGTGGGAGATATGTGAATACATAAAAAATCTTCTATGCCTGTAAATGCTCAAAAAAGAAAATCAGTTAATAGTAAAGAATAGGAAAAATTTTCATCCAACATCCATTACGAAGAAGACTTGAATAGAAAAGCTAATATTAGTCATGTAACAGGTTAATGATACTTCAGTTCCATGCGTATCCAGCAAACAAAGCACATATAAAAGAGCTTACTGAAGCAAGGGCCAAAATTGTGAAAAAGTTCATGTGCTGGGAGTGATTATAAAGCCATCGTTTTGTTTTCTTCAGAAGTGAAGATAAAATTCCATCTTCTTTTGTTGAAACAGCAGTCAAATCCTCCATCCCATCCACACTGTTTCCTGATAACCGTGCTGCAATAAGCAATTCAATTGCAAGAAAGAAATCGGAGTTAGGAAAGTAAATAGCTAGTAACACCAAAACCAATAAGCAGACTAGGTTGATTTGAAGAAAAAAAATTGCAAAACCACTGGTATGCCAGATCACCAATCCGGACGCCCGCACTACTTTAGAAAACAATTTAAAAATTATACTCATATCCAACATCCTAATTTGTAATATGCATGAAACAACCAATCAAGACTTCTCCATAATATAATATTTCAGTTTTTTTTCAATCATCTAATATTCAATTGATTGACAAATAAAAATCATTTGTGGAAATTTAGGAAGGTGGGGATGATATGAGTTACATTCAAGTCATTAAAGATATGCATACTAGAGTTGTTACTTGTGTAAGGAGGCTTGACCAAATAATTTCCTATCTCTGTTGGATTAGGACAGGAATCGACTTTAAGCCCATATCTTTTTGCTTTAGTTATGGATGGTCTTACTAAACATTTACAGGAGGATGCACCTTGGTGTATGTTTTTTCCTGATGATATCCTTCTCGAGAAAGAAAGCTCAGAAAAAACTTGAATTATGGAGGTCTACATTAGAGTCTAAAGGCCTTCATTTGAGTTGAACTACAACAGAATACATGGAATGTAATTTTAGTAGTAGTAGCTCTAGTGACAGAAGTGTTAACTTATGGTGATCAAATTATTAAAAGGTGTGAACGCTATAGATATCTCGGGACTATTGTTCAAAGTGATAGTGATATAGATGGGGATGTTATTAGTAGAATTCAAGTTGGTTGGTTGAAGTGGAGCAATGCTTCGGGCCTATTGTGTGATAGAAAATCACCACTTAGACTGAAAACAAAATGTTATAAGATGGCGATGAGACTTGCAATTCTCTATGGCGCTGAATGTTGGCCTTTAAAAGAGAAGCATAAAACTAAGTTAAGTGTTGTCGAGATGAGAATGATTAGGTGGATGAATGACTTTACACTTAACGACAAAATGCAAAATGAATATATCCGTGATAGGGTTGGTGTAGCTCCGGTGACGGACAACATTAGGGAGAGTCGTCTTAGATGGTTTGGTCACATCAAACGTCGACCATGTGATGATCCGATTAGGAGAGTTGATGTTTTAGATTCGATTTATGTTAAGAAAGGCAAAGGTAGACCTAGGAAGGCTTGGACATATTTTATAAAAAATGATTTTAATTTATTAGAAATAAATGAAAATATGACACGAAATAGGACGCAATAGAGAAAAAAGATTCATGTAGCCAACCCCACTTAGTGGAATAAACGTTTTATTGTTGTTGTTTTTGTTGTTATTGTGGTAGGAATGTGGGCCAGCCGACTGGCCAACCACCTTAAGATAGTGGAGGATTTGATTGAGGAGAACTTTGAAAACCACATGATTAGTTTTATTCCCTTTCTATTTATGTTTCTTTATTTTTATTTCAAAATTATTTCATTTCTTAATTTAGATTAAATATATTTGGAAGTTTCTAAATTAGGAGGGACCGATTTCCCTATATATATGCCTTAGGTGTGAATAATAAAAAGAAATATTTTTTCCTCCCAAAGTTTGTTTTCTTCATAGTATCAAAGCTTGGAAGCAAACACTAGCTCTTCTTAACTCGGAATCTTCCGTGCAATCATCGAAATTCCTTCAACTGGCTTACAGGCCCTTCCTCTAGGGCCCTCTTCTTCATGGCAGTCGCACCCTCTGCATCAATAGCTGGGTAATCTCTTGGCATCAGTTCCTCCTAATAGCAGAAGAAATAGTAGAGTGATCTGTTGGCACAGGTTCCTCCTCATGACAGAAGCAGCAATCAGGTGATCTTCCTAGAGAATGAGTTTCTCTACACGTCAGAAGCAACAACCAGAGCGGCTTCAGTCGTAGTCCAGCGTTGGAATACTCCATCGGAGCCTCTCCATGCTGCCAATGGGACCTCCTCAACCAACCTCCAGATGTCGTGACCCGTCGCCAAACTGCTCCTTCCCAGGCAAGCATAGCAGTCGAAGGTAGTGGCCTTCCAGACGTCCCTCATCTCCTGCAAGTAGCAACCAGGAATTCTTTCCATCACTAAACATGCATAGGGTTCATGACCAAGTATGGGATGAAAATGTCCTGCTCTACTCCGAAGGTTAATGCTGAATCCAAGACCATAAATTCTGCCCAAATGGCTCTTGAACTCTCTAAGTTGATAACAAATCTTAAATTCAATGGCTATAAATTTCTTTAATGGTCCCGATCTGTGCTTATATACATTTGTGAAAAAGAGAAAAGAACATCTCACGGATATAGTGCTTATATACTTTTGTAGATCATTTGGTTATGTTTTGGCTATTAAACTCAATGACCACTTGAGTGAAAAAAATTTTTCTCTGCAAAACTGCAAAAAGAGTTTGAGAAGCTACAAAAGAAATATATTCCAACACTGATAAAATTGCAGAGTTATTTGAGATCGAAATTAAATTTCATTATCTTCATCAACGAGAGCTAAGTGTCACCCAATACTTCAAAACTTTGACAAAGTATTGGATACAATTGGATATGTTTGAAACACGTAGAAATGTCCACAAGTTATCATCAAGAAGAAGAGAACTATCAAATTTCTAGTATGACTAAGGAATTGGATGAACTGAGAGAGAGGATCATGGAAATAAAGTAACTGCAAAGCCACTTCCATCTACCCGTAAACCTTTGGTTGAAGACGGGAGATAAGAGAGTATCAAGAAGATGATGTTGACTGAAAGTGGGGGTTCACCATGTACTGAAAGCTCTGCCATGTGCACCCATAATTCCTCCCATGATTCAAAGCTAAAAAAGAATTGCCCTCAAGTGACTACTGCAGAAAAATTGGGCACCTCAAAGAGAAATGTTGAAAACTCCATGGAAAGCCTTTAGATTGGAAATCAAAACATTGAAGAAAATATCAGGAGAACAAAACTAATGTTGCTACCAAATCCGAAGGGTCGGTTAAACCGTTCACCAAGGAAAAACTTAAAAAAAAACTCCTTAGGAGTAATTCTTAACAACACATCAACCTCGTGACACACCAAGATAATAAATATTTCTCTCATCTTGCTAGTAAAAAAAAATTTAGACCTTGGAAAATAGATTCAGGAGCTTTGATCATATGACTGGAGACATCAATGTTCTAGTCAACTATGAAGGAGCTTCTACAACTAAATATGCAAACTTACAGATGGATCACACTAAAAAATTGTTGAAAAGAGAAATGTAGAGCTCTCTCAGCATATTACTTTTTCCTCAATTTTATGTCTCGCAATTAAACTGCAATCTAAGCATACACATGATATAAAATATATCACTGAATTCCTTGCAAACTCTTGTGAATTTTATGAGTTTGATTAGGGGAAAGTGATTCGCAGTGTTAAAATACATCAAGTGTTATATCTATTCAAGGAAAGTTTCTCTCTAAACACACAAGTAGTTCCAACTCAATTTTTTCCTTAAATTTTTATTATGTTGAGTCATGTCAGTCAAAAAATAAGTGATGTTATGGCATTATCTTCTATGTCATCCTAATTTTGATTACATTGCACATTTATATCCTCATTTGTTTATTCATAAAAACCTAATTTTTATTAATATGAGATTTGTCAACTTGTCAAACATAATATAAATATTTATCCCATGACCCAGTACAAACTCTCACACCCATTTTTCATTATCCACAGTGATATTTAGGGACGTTCAAATGTGAAAATGATTTGTCTTATTTATTGACGATCATACTAGAACTACTCTATATTTCTAATAAAGGAGAAGTCTAAAATAGCTCAAATCTTTCAGACCTTTCATGACTTAATTAAACTTGATTCCTACCAAAAAGTTATATTGTCAAAAACTAGTTATGCAAAAGAATATTTCAACTCCAGCATTGGATCCAATCTTTGAAAAAATGGAATCATACATATGAGTTCATATATTGATACTCGTAACAAAATGGGATAGTGGGCATAAATAATAGATATCTCCTTGAGGTATCCTTCTCAATTATGATTTTTATCAAATTCCAAAATATTATTGGGAGAAGCAGCCATTCCTGCAAATCTGCAACATACCTTATCAACCAAATGTTTGGTTGGATACTCAACTTCAAAACACTTAATATCTTGATGGATACTTACCATTGATTTAGAGCTTTCCCTTCTACTATATCACTTAATTTTTTTTTGTTTATATCCTTTGTTCATATTCATTCCTAAAATCGCACAAAACTTGACCATAAATCTATTAAGTGTATTTTTCTAAGGTATGCCTCCCACAAAAAGGTGTATAAGTATTACTCGCTTGTTACAAGAAAATTCTACAACTCCTTAGATGTCACATTTTTTTTTAAAATCAATCATATTATCCCAAATCTGATGTTCAGAAGAGTGCAAATGAACATCAATTTTGGGATGCACTTAATGACACTCATATGGCTTCACAATTTACTCCTTTTCCACCTAGCCCTTCAATCCTTGTTGAGAATGTCCAACCAATCCAACCTAAAGTTCATAATAAAGAACTTTGTGCATACACAAGAAGGGCAAACAATCTTGAGCATGTGGGAGACAACTTGCAATGACAGAACTGCTCAAACCAAAACTCGAATCCACACTCACCTGAAATTTGGCTGAGGGGGAGTCTAGTACTCATGAGTTCCTCTTTCGCTTCTATTACTAATGATACGAAAATTTCTACTAGATAGTGTGCATAATCTATTAAGTTTTGCACTAGCATTGATAGTGTGCATATTCCTAAATTCATTAATAAAACTCTTAAAAATAAAGAAAGAAAGAAAGTAATTGAAAAGGAGCTCAAGCACTAAAGCATAAGGACACATGGATTCTTACTAAACTCCCTCGGGATGAAAAGTCAGTTGGATGCAATTGGGTGCTCAACATTTTTAAGGTCTATTTGGGGCAGCTGTTGATTATTTATAATCCGCTGATAAGCAGATTATTCTGATAATCTGATAATCTGCAGATTATCAG